GACTATAGCTAGAGAGGGAGATTTTATAATAACCCTATTATAAAGACACCTTATAGTGTTCTAGTTAATTAGGTGCATCCCTAGCTAGGTTTAGTGTCTTGGCGCCTAAGCTATGCAAAACCTACGCTTTACATAGGGCTTAGGGAAGATAAGTATTATTCTTATATTAATACTATACTAATAGTTATCTCTACACTATTCTATCTAGTGTGAAGCAAATACTATTGCCTATAACTAGAACCTTACAGTGATAATAGAGGTGGTGATAGAGGTGGTGATAATAGAGGTGGTGATAGAGGTGATAATAGAGGTGGTGATAGAGGTGGTGATAATAGAGGTGGTGATAGAGGTGGTGATAATAGAGGTGGTGGTAGAGGTGGTGGTAGAGGTGGTGGTAGAGGTGGTGATAGAGGTGGTAAAGAAGATTAAAGAAAGGAGGGGTAAAATACTTAAATAGTTAGTAGGAAACTAGTTATTACTAATACTAGTAGATTAATAGAAGTAGAAATAAAAGTAGTTTACTTTTATAGAATACATAGTATAATAAACCTTATTTAGGTTTACTTCTTCTACCTAAACCACTTCTTAGTGTACTTTAGATAAATATGGCTACTGTAAACCGGTTTTGTACTGTAGTGTAACTATTTTTAGTCTCACTTAGCCTTAGAAACTCTTTGTACTAAAAAAGTTTAAAGATATAAGAATATATAAGAAAGAAGGGGACCCTAAGGCGAAGAAAGATAAAAAAGACGAGTGAACGACCTGATTGTCAGTATTCGATAATAGCAGATCTAATTGAACAGGTGCACTCTAGCCTGGGGGTGAGATATTCCGTAGAAACCTCGTCTCTTGCCAGTAATTCAACACGGTTTTCCTATTCTTCAAGTGGATAACGCAGCTTTCATTCCTAAGAATAATCCGGCTAGATACAATAGGACAAGGCCCTCTAGATGTTCAATTGGCAAGTAGCTCAAAGCTTCTGTGTCAAGCAGTTGTAGAGAGCACGCAGTCTGATAGCAACGTTCCGCAACTAAGGGCACGCTCTGCCCCAACCCGTAGAGATTTGGCAGCAATCAGCGCCCTACGCCATGTAAGCAGCTGTGTTGTAAGAGAGATTTAATAACTTACGCAAGAGACCTTGTAATTTTCGCAAAAGTTCGCTTCGTGCGATTTTCCACACACGTCCCAGTTCTTATGCTGGTTCATACATCCCTGTTTATCATTCCAGCAACAGTCCTGTTCAATGCCGTTGCACTATGCGGTGGTTAGTATATTTGCTTATTTTGGTGATGCAAAACTTACAGCAAGGACTACACTGGGTAGAAGAAGAGCAGCTACTGCCGCGTTAAAGATGGTTGAGAATTGCATTGTTGATGAGGGCAAAGGGATTGAGTGCGTGCTAGGCAAGTATGTATGAAGAATCTATAAAGAAGTGAAGTGGTGCAGTGATTGATGCCAGAGGTAGTACGGTAGGGTAGGCGACCCTTTTATACACAGTTGGTCTCATTAGTGATACTCACATACTATTAATAGTGAGCTAGATACAGTAGAGACTTGATAGTGAATACAAGAAAAGCAGCGTCATGGTGGTACGAGAGTGCAAGCACCTAAACCTTATCCTGACCGTGCTGACAACACAGATTGCTCATTTGGTAGGGGCTCATTTGTCTCCAGTTTCAAAACACGCAAGGTCGAAACTATGCTTTAATCTTGTGAATTCATCACCTTTTTTTCAACTTCGTGTAGGTGCTCTAGGGGCCTTAATTACCTAAGTCTAACACTACAGTATCTACTCTCTGTCCCGTTTACTAGTAACTAAAGTTCTTGGGTATAAGAGATTAGCGTGTTTGTCCTACATAGTAGATATCTAGTATCTCCCTTTCTGAACTTTGGCGAAGTGGCAGGTATCGCGAGAAGCCTCGTGGACGTCTTTCGCCGCCAAGGTCTGATTATAGGTCTGGGCAATTAATATAAAAACCTTGGTAACACTAGCAGCATCTATACACAGTACAATACGTTTACAAATTAATGGAAACAACATGCGATGCTCCACACTTATGCTCCGCCTTTCATATCCTAAAAATTTACACTTTATCCCTTGACTTAAATTACTGTAACCTACATATTAGGAGTAAGACTCTTAGGTATGATCTGCATATTCGAGCGGAGTCTATACCTATTCGAGCAAAGTTTACATAAAATGCATATGCAAATTCACAACAGCACACGACACTTACATAGCACACCGCCGCATAGAGAATATTTGGAACAATAGTTTGAATATATTCACAGGAGTAACTGAGCAACTAAAAGCATGTAACGGAGACTTTCGAAAGCAATATCATGTTATTGTTGATGCTGCGGAAAGGTATACAAGCTGCCTGAACTCCAAATGTGTTTCGCACATCACTCTTCTTCAATCGTCTTCTCTGGCGCATTCTCAGCTTGTCCCTTGTACCAGAGGTATACGGCGAGTGCGATGAAGGACCCGAATCCGCTTGCCATGATCATTCGTCCGCGGAGCCCCTGCTTCCTCTTCAGAGCCTCATCTCCTCCCAGAATTACTACTGCCTTCTTCGACCACGTGTACTCCAGACCACTGTACACCGTTGTACTAGCTACAACAGTAGACAAGCCAGTGATCAAGTTCTTGACTCCTTGCTCGCCTCCAAGTAGTTCTGGAATAGACAGGAGAACGCCTCCGGGCGGCAGACGATGTGGCTGCAGGGTCGTGCAAGAGGTTGGTACAGAGCAGTGTACCCAGCAAACTTAGCTGTAGAAAGGTGTTGAACTTGGATATGGTTGTAGGATGTACTTCGGCACTTGGTAGACTAAAATCCCAATATCTCGCCATGGTTTTTGGAGCCGGCAAACTTGCATACCGGTAGTAAAAAGCAGAAATTGACAAGCTTGCATCTCTACCGAGAATAAGAACAAACAGCGGCATAGACAGACTTCCATTGACAGCCAAGCAAGTTACAAGAGTCGTCATAAGCAGTTTGTCGGCCATGGGATCTACCACGCTTCCGACAACAGTTTGCAGCTTCCATTTTCGAGCAATCCAGCCGTCGAGAAGGTCTGAGAAAGCGGCGTAGGTGAATAGCGAGAAAGCATATAGGTGGTAGTTGTGAACGATCAGGTAGCCTATCACGGGCGTCGCCACAAGGCGAGTCAATGTGAGAAAGTTGGGAATGTTGTATATGTTTTCATGCTTGGTCTTGTCAAGTTTGAGTGTTGACTTCAGGGTTGTCGCCAGTTTTGCCGTGGCCGTTGATGCAGAGGGTCGCTAGTCATAGTCAGCCTACGATGATTCATCGCATAAATCGCCAAGTTTGTTGAGGTCCGAACCAAGTCCACGGACGTCTCGACTCTCGGTTCTTCTACTAGTGTTTCATGTGGCAAGGGAAGTTTGATATTTCTTGATGCATTCACACTGTAGGAATGAGCCGGAAAATGGTATGAACAAGTAATTCCAGCTTATGAATCGGGCATCAGGCCATGCCAGGTTTATTCAATAGATGAGGCAGAATCATGGTCGTTGAGGCGACGTCGGTTAGAAGACGTAAGGAGAAACTTACTTTGGTGATTTTTGTTGCGCTGGTTTTCCCATCTTCCCGCTGAAGCCTGTGTGTTGTCGAGGTACTAAACAAAGCAGGTAGCTGTAACAGTATTGGGCGTCGCCTCGAGGGTGCACAGGTCGAGGATATTCGCTTTGTTTTGCCGACGTCATTGGGTTTCCAGGAAGAGGAAGCACGTGAGAACACAGGGCGAGGTGTTTGGCGAATACACAAAAGTGGCGGAAGGGTGCAGATTCGAAGAGATGCAGTCGAGAGACGCTCGAATGCGCTGGAAGACCCAATGGCCCCGGCTAGAGATGACTGTATCATGGGCGTGGGTAGGATGGCTTCAGAACCGTACTGGTTGGTTGAGATTCGGCTTCGTAGTTAGCTGGTCGAGAAGCTCTTGGCAGGCACTAGCGACCGATGTGGAAGCTGGAGCAATCCCTCAAGACTCTTTGCGCTCTCATTCCTAAGCTCATCTGATAAGATTCCAGAGTGCTACCAACCATCATGACCAGAATCCATCCACTGGACATGGACCTCACGATTGCTATGATCTGTATAGTTCAGATTCCCCGGCCAAGTGGCATCATCTTAGGATGTCATCTGCTCCCCGCATGTAACCATGCAGTTCAACTTGCAACAACCTGGAAGATGCAATCTGGCCGCTACATAGGATGAACATTGGCAAGTTACTGCAATGCGCAGTCATCTAATCGAATGGTGCATAGCCGAAGTCTTACTATGCAGTCATCTAGTCGAATGGTGCACAGCCAAAGTGTTACTATGCAAGAGCAGCCGGGCCGTCCACTGCCGGAATCCGTTGACATGAACGCCCCAAAGTGCAATTGCAGCCTCGCCTGTCCATTTCTTCTCCTTATAGCTCTTCCCAGGTACATCAGCAGATTTCTGACGCATCCTACATGAACGGGTTCCGAGCGCCTACCGGGAAGACATATCAAGTAACTTAGCCCACGAACCCAAGTTCTGCAGTCTGAAAGGATCATGCGGGCATCAGAAAATCGAGTTTGAAAGCCAACCGACACCAGGATTCCCACGTTACGCGCGGACTCGAGACCGGACGATCATCGCCTCCACATAGCTAGAGATATGGCGGGCGATTGGCATATCGTTGTGCCGGCTACACATGCCGAAGTCTTAGTGGTCCTGAGAGCATATTCATGAATGAATCTCGTCTCCCCAGCCTGATGCACGTCTTGCAACTTCTGCAATGAAGATATCCGAAAGTTTATTCTAGTTCGATGAAGGAAGTACTTGGGGATCGTCTGGGGTCCATGCCTTACCCCTTCCAAGAGTGTTGATAGTATGGCGTGACTATCGATTCGTAGACTTTGAGGAAGCATAGCGTGTCTAGAATATGCCTCATGGCCATATCAGATGCGTCCACGGTCGGCTGAGCTGCTTGACTGATGTTGATTTGCAAGCAAGCAGAGGTACAAATGAAGCCCCCCCATGGTTGTCGAGTCGGGCAGCTCAAGCGATTGATTGTGTGGGGAAGGAACCGGTTCCAAGTGATTCCGTACCTAGGTAAGAGCCGAGGACATTGTTACCTAGCTAGTCCTTCTCCACGAACCCTAGGGGCCGCTGTGGAGCCTACTGTTCGTATTCACGGCTACCCATACTCGTCGATCACACGCCCAGACGTGAGCTTGCTCGTTATCTAACATTGTGTCACGAGAGTGTGTCTGCTCCCAGTCGGGGGCTGATCGGAGGCAGAACAGATGCAGGCAGGGTACGCGGGCACCTGTGACTCTCATTCTCCAACACACAGGCCATGCGGACTATTACTATGTATGTGCTGTATGCCCCCAGGGAAAATAGAGTTTGACGCGTTACAGCACGTCATGGTTGTGTGCGTCTAAGAAGCACATCAAGATAGGCCACTGGCCGAGCGACCTAGCTCTCGCCTCGATTAAAAAAACAATCCCCCAATTCACCGAAAGATACATAGTACCGGTAGGTTGCCGCTAAGCAAACGGCTTTTGCGAGGAAAATAAAATAAAATCCTGAAACCCGGCCTTGGAGTATTTGTGAGCGTAACAGACCCACAGAATGGCGCAACTAGCAGCGAAGAATAAGCGAAGATTGTATGTCATTCCCGTAGCGTGCAGCCACAAGAACAACTCTGGAAAAGAGAAAGGGTGGAAGTTGCCGTCTCGCAATGGTAGCTACATATGCGTGTACACCACAAGTCCACAGGTTGTAGTAGTCGGCACAGTACCGGTACAAAAGCCATTTCCAACACCGTACCTACCAGAGGTACCATACGGTACCATACCATACCATACCATACCATACAACACCCGACATGACATGACATAACCCATAACCCATAACCCATAACATCCCCCCCTCCCCCAATCGGAACACCTACCCCCTCCCAACAACCCACCCAATCAATCGCAAACAACCCGACTTCCTCTGCAGAACAAACACACCCCGCACGTCTCCTCCTCGCACTTGTACTTGTAGATCTCCCCCAGCCTTGCGCCGCAAGTCTACGCGATCTGAGCTCAGCACCGCTCACCCATCGCCCCACATTTCACTGCACACGTGCGCTCACCCGCATCGCATCGGTAGGTAGGTATTGGCAGCGCATCGCAGCGCATCGCATCGTATCGCATCGCACCAGCCGAAGAAGCGAACTGTCATCTACTGTGCCGTACCGGTACATGCCGCGTACGCTCAACAAAAAAACAAGGCGTGTAAGTAGGTATACAGAAGATCCTGATGTGATGAAAGTATTGATTGAAGAATCTATGGAGGAAGAAGCCAAGGTGGCTAGATATAGACATCCCCACTAGTCCCAAATAGGTGTCTCCCAGTCAACCCGGGATAGGGGAGTCGCCAATAGTGGTGGGCAGTCACCACCTTGGTATAAGGTAAGCACTATAGGTAATACAGAAATAATAGTCCCCTAAATCTATAGTAACTATAAATATATAAAGAAAATAAGAGAAAAACTATATCCCCTAGTCTCCTAAGTAATAAAAATATTATATCTTATCTGTAATATTTAATATCCTAGTGTTAAGCTTCTCTAATATAGGCTATAGGAGCGCTTTTGTATATAAGTCTACAAGATTATTACTAGATTAAACATGTTTAATATTAAAGTTACCTACTAGGAATTATTCTCTTATAAAGTAGTAATAAACGTGGATATACTTTAACTATAGGTTTAACTTCTAGTCTTAAATAAGTGTAATAGCTAGTTTATTATTAATAAGCAGGTAGTATAGTAGTGTAACTAGCAGGAATTCTATAATAGCGTGTTAAGCCTAGATAAGATATAATACCGCGTATAAGGTAGCTATATACTCTACTTTATATGTGCTTTAAGTAACACAGCTCTATTGCTTAGATAACTATAAGATAACTAACCTATTAACCTTAAGGATATAACTAGAGAATAATTTTAAGTTATCTAGGTCTAATACGTATAATATATCTAAGTATATTATAATCTAAGTAGGTTGTCTAGCAGGCTATATCCTAATTATTAGTTAGTAATCTAATATCGCGCGGACATACTAGAGCACTTAGAATGCTAGCTTAAGATATCCTTCTAATAGATTAGCATTATAGGAACTAAGCAGGCTAATTATATATACTATATCTAGTCTGCTTATAACTACTATAAAGTTAAGGGAGCTAATAATAGATTAGAACTTCTTCTATTAGTCTGCATTAACTAGTATATCTATAGGTGTGTAAGGTAGGAATAAGCTAGGGTTAATAGGCGTGTGTTAACTATTACAGTTAGTTATACTATAGCGTTAAAGGATAGCTATAATATAAGTGCGTTAGTAAAGTTCTATATAATTATTAAAATAGTTAATTTTAAGCCCTAGTATTATACGTAGTTATCCTAGGTCTTAAAAGTAGAAATAAGCCTTTATAAGATAGAGTATTATATTAATCTATTCTTAAGTACTAACTATAAGAACGTTATCTATATAGATCCTAAGGACAAGATTACTTAAGATAAAGATATAAGGATTAAAGTTAGCCTAGGAGAAATACTAGGACTTTAACTATTTAGATAGGATAGTATACTATTTACGTCTAGACTGCTTAAGACTATAGAGAGTCTTAAGTAGGAACAGTGCGCTATTAGATAGTAGTCCTAGTAGTAGTTAATAATAGATCCTGTGCTTAAGATATCTATTTAGGTATACGGCGTTAAAGTCTACTTATTACGTCTACTATCTATATAGAGTAGCAAGGACTAGGAGGATTTATAGACTATTATATCTAACTACTAGTAAGTATATATTATTATAGTTAAAACCTAGTTACTATAAAAATCCTTATACTACAAGTCTTACTTTTCTCTTAATAATATTACTAGATTTATCTTGCTTAGTATTAAAGACCTATTAAGTGCCTACAAGCTTTACACCTAGAGGTATCTTATAATAGGGTACAACTTCCTATATACTATTTTCTACATAATTAGCAATTTCTTTATTAATAGCTAGCTGCTATAAGGTAGTATAATTATTGTCTATTACTTCTACAAATATCCTAGGAGTGTCTAATAATATTATAGTAGTAGAGAAAGTTATTAAAAATAAAGAGGTATATACTAGTGCATCCTCTTTATAAGTTGTAGTAAAGGTAAATAGTTATATTATAGTATAGGATCCCTAGTATTACTCTAGCTTTCTTATCTATCTTCTAATATAAGTTGTAGCTATAGGTGTTAATACAGGTGTCTCTTTTATACGTGGTTTCTTCTAGGCTAGAGCAGATATTTATAAATTCTAAGTATCTAGAGAGGAGGAGTCTAGTCCTATCCTAGGCAGTACTTATATAGAGAGATAGTTAGGGCTACTTAAGAGGTTATATAGTAGGTTTGTTGCTCTAGACTTAAGCGTAGGTGTTTAAGGTGTAGATAGGAGGTTACTTATATCCCCTAGCTTAGTGTTATTAAGAACTTTAATAGGAGGGAGCGTTATAACTAATTCCCTAGGCTACTATTATAAATGTTAAAGCTCTGTATCTAAATATTATAGACTATACTTAATTCCCTAGTCTTAAATAGTTTAAAATATTTAGGGAACCTATAGGATAAAGGTAATATCCTAGGATTTAATAATAATAGCTTATTATAGTATATAGAGATAGCTTGTCCTAGTACTACGACTATAGCTAATAAAGATACCTTCTTTAGAGCAGTGTAGGAGTTTAGTACCTAGCTTCTAGGCCTCTACAGGAATATAGATATAGCCTTAGATACTAAATAGTTAGAGGTGCTAAATAGATAGCTTCTTCCTAAAGAGCTATTTGTGTAGGGTACGTTATAATAGGTCTAAAGAATATAGCGCGATATTCTTAAGAAAATTTACTAATATTATTGCTTTAGCCTATAAGAAAAGTAGATTATTAGATAGTATTATGTATTAAGTAATCTAGAATAGGGTGCAGTTAAATCGCTCTAGGACGCTATTTAATTTATAGTAGTATAGTAGTATTAATTTATAGATAATTCCTTTAGCTATAAAAAATTTCTAAAGATTATAGCTAATATATTCGCCGCTATTGTTAGAATAGAAGGTCTTAACAATAGAATATTATAGGACACTATTATTAGTTATAGCTCTAGTGTTATAGAATTAAGTGTTTGCATAGGCAATAAAGTCCTTAATAGCTTATAGTGCGTTAGCCTTAAGCTTAAGAAACTAAATCTAGGAATATTAAGTGTAGTTATTAACAAAGGAGATATAATACTATAAGCTACTAATACTTTAAGTAGGTATTTTTCCTAAGAGGTTAGAATAAATAAGCTTAAGTAGCTAGGTATAGCGTGGTGTCCCCTATGTTAGTATATAGTGCACTAACTTTAATTGTTAATATATAGTGTATGTAAAATCCTTAGGTTTATCTAGCACTAGATATCTATTAGTATAGATATATAATAGGTTTAGCACTAATAGATATCCTATAGCCTTATAGAAATTCTAGTATATCCTAAAGCCTTTGCCTCTATGTATATGTGTCTCCTTCGCCTTTATCGCTATTACTATTGCCTTTGTTGTTGTTGTTATTAGGGCTAAGGCTATTAATATTTAATTAGGAGAGGACAAGCTTGTAAGTATATAGGTAGATAGTAATAGTAATAGTAGTTATTTAGTCTAGAGCTATATAAGGCCTTATATATATCTTGCCTATAGTGTGTATTAACTGTGTCTAATAAGGTATAGGTTGTCTTTTTTAGTAAATAGTTTAAACCCCTTATATCTAATAAATATCTATAAGAATAAGTAGGTGCTATAGAGTTTAGCGCTATAGAGTGTGTTAGTTAGTACTATAATATTAGTTAAGCTATTAGGGAGCTATAGGCAAAGTTAAACTATGCTAATTCCTTGTATAGGGAGCTTAATACCGCTAGCTATAGTAATAGTGCCTATCTTTAGTATTAAGGATAGGAAGTTATTAGCGCAGCTAGATATATGCCTAGAGGCACTAGTATTAAAAAGCTACATAGGTGGGTTAATAGTAGTAGGTTAACAGATTACTACAAATACACTTACTAATCTAGTACGTTTGCTATTAGAGTTAAGCACTAGGTGCAATAATAATAATAGTAGTAGTGTAGTTAAGTTAATATAATAGTAAGCAGAGTAACTAATAATAGTAGTTAAGCTATTAGAGTCTTTATCTAGGTTAATTGTAGCAGCGTTGTTTGCTTTCTACTTCTTCTAAGAGCCTAATAATAAGAATAACTATAATATAGTGCTAGCTTTTCCCTTTGCTTAGTTCTCTTTATACTTCTTAAGATACTTATAATTAGGATAGATATAACTAATAAACAATAGGTTATGCTTCTAACACTAGGTACATTCTAGTGTGGAGGTACTAGATAATAGTAGTCTATTAGTGTTTAGCTATCTAGACGCTGTTTATCTAGCTATATAAGTAGCTAAGGAGTTAGTAATATCTAATAAGTGCTTCTTAGAAATATCTAGGATCTTAGGTTTAATATCTTTAAACGCAGTTATATTCCTAGTAGATAAGTTATTAATAATATTATCTATTATCTTAGGTAGAGTAGCAAGAAAGAATAAGCCCTTAACCTAATCTAAGTTAAATATATTACGTATTACTACTATAATAGGCTATATAGATATTATATAATATTTAGCTATACATATCTAGTGTTAGTAGAATTTATTAAGGTGTAGTCTAAGGTTATCTCTATTATAATAGTAAAGGTTTATAAGCAACTAAAAGAGTAAGATTAACGTATTACCTGTGTCCCTATTAAAGTAGTTAGTAAGATGCTTCTAGGCTTCTAGAGAGGTGTTATAGCTTACTACGCTTATTATTAGGTTATTATAAACTAATAATAGTAGCATAACTAAAGCCTTATTATCCTGCTTATCCTAGTCCTTAGTATTAGAAGGAAGCATTAGTCTTAGCTTCTTTCTAGCAAGGATAGGCTAAATACCTGTATATCTAAATGCTATAGTCTAGGCTAACTACTATTCTAGATAGTTCTTACCTTAGGAACCTAGTTTAGGTAATAAGGAAGGGTCTAGGTAGAAGTTAAATATAGGTTTAGTAGATATAATAGGTATTAGGGGTAGTGCTAATAGTCCTAGAAGAGGATCTATCTCTAGTAATAGTAGATATAGAGACAGTAGTACCTCTAATAAAGCTATAGGTAGAGCTAGTAATAGTAGTAGGGACGCGTTAAACAGGTTAGAATAGGAAGCTATAATAATAGTAAATATTAGTAATATATACAGCTAAAGTAGTAGAAGCTAATAAAGAGAGATTAATACAAGCAGGTACTAGTAAATAAAGCTAAGTATGCTAGTAGATAAGCTAGGCTTATAACCTAATATAATAAAAGTATTAATTAAAGAATCTATAGAGGAAGAAGCCAAGGTGGCTAGATATAGACATCCCCACTAGTCCTAAATAGGTGTCTCCTAGTCAACCCGGGATAGGGGAGTCGCCAATGGTGGTGGGCAGTCACCACCTTGGTATAAGGTAAGCACTATGGGTGATACAGAAATAACAGATCCCATGTACACCAAGCAGTACACCCCATACCCATACGCATACCCATAGGCATACGCATACCCATACCTAGTTCTAGACCGCTGTCTATACCCATACCCATACCCATACCCATACCTAGTTCTAGCCCGCTACCTATACCTATGTATTCCCGCAGTTCCTTTGCACCCCCCCCCCCATCCTATGAAACTCGTGCGCTTTCTGCGACACAATAGCCTCCAGGGTGTTTTCCTTGTCTGAGGCTGCGGATGGAGAGGGAGGTGGGTAGGTAGTGTAGAGTACCTATGGTATGGCATTGTGGACGGATCATTAATCGTCTTTACCTTGCGCTCGCTCGGTCTTGCACTGGAGGAATGGCTGGCTGGCTTGTTGGGCGTGTGTGTGTGCTGCTCTTGTGGAGCGGAAGCCGCGCTCGAAAGATTGGTACCGTACGTACTAGACAGGAGTCTAACCGTCTACTTTACCTTCTGACTACTACGCAAAAGTGCGTCTTTGTGCGTCTTGCAAGCCACGGAGCGCGACATGTGCTGTGGTATCTGCCAATGCCATGCAAAGGGCGTCACTCCAATACGCACAATCGACTCAAAGGTTAGGAACAAAGAACAGTGGTACACATGGCCATGCTCGAAAGTTTGTTCTTCAGCTAGGTATATCCTGTCAGCTGTGTCCATGATGTATATTTCCTAGCTAAGATTGATTGGTTGCATGCATGGTGATATGTGAAGTGTGAGTGTTGGGCGAGTTGCTTTGACGGGCTGGGTGAGGGGAGAGTAGGGTACGGAAGGATAGATGTCTGTGGTGAGGATTACCTATCTATCTTACTCTTTGCTTTGCAACTTACTCTTGGCTTACAAGAAGGTACCTGTATGTCCCTGGGTATCTACATACCTACGATACCTACATAGTACGTGTATATACCAGCACATGGCAGAGTAATCACAACATGAATCCGTTAGTTAGGCAGACTGCACAACACATAACTGGTACCATGATGAACAATTCATCTCAGTCTCGACATCAGAAAAAGGCACGGGCCGTAGTAAAACTCTTACACAGCACCTCCCTCGCACTATCCCTATTTGTTAACCGATGCAAGCTTCTGCTTCTGCTTCTGCCTCTACTTCTGCCTCTACTTCCGCTTCCGCATCAGCAAGCAACACGTCGGGCAGGAATAAAAAGGGGTGAGCAGGCCGCAGTGGATACAATCCCAACATCCATCTCAAGCTCGGTTCGAGTCAAACGGCTCCTCTGCCCAGTATTGCTTCTACCATGTTCCGACTCAGTCTCATCCACAATGTATAGAGTTCGAGCACTATAGTACGATTGTATGATTCATGTCCGGTTTGCCGAACGCCAGACTCGGCATACGGTGGATATTTCGTACACTCTTGGGCTAGTCTTATCTTCCAACAAACGCAAGACAGATCGATGCACTCCCTGGCGAGGAAACAAGGTGGTCGGTTACAAGCCATGTGCAGCATCCACCACAGGCTACTGCTGTTGATCCTGTCTGCTTGTTTGCTACAGTATATACTACCGGTATGTGAATGGCTTCGTCCATGGGTTGTGGACATTGTGCTGTACTGTGAATACATGTGTACATGCCTTACATACACTGCAGTTAGTAGAGTACTTTGTTCACTACCATGCACTCTTATCCCCAATGGAGCTGCCTACGTGCATACTCCTGAACTCAATCGAATCGAATCGAATCGTGCAAACGCGCCCGTGCTCATGTGCGATCATTGTTGTGCGAATGGCATGTTATAATTTGCAAGCGAGACCCATGAGCCCAGCAGACAGACTCGAAGAATGGGGATCCTCCGTCATCCTATTGCCGTTTCGGTGGTTGGGAAGGCGGACAAAAAAAAAGCAACATTGTCAGACGTTGGCCGGCCCAGTCCCCCAACCTCCCGCTAACGCAGGTACCAAACGTATTCGTTGTCCGAAAGGGCTACTTGCTCCGTTTACGAGATGTCGAAGTTAGGAACATTGCTCATGCATGCTCATGCATCTCATCACAGCCGAGTTTCTTTTTTCCCCAAAAAGGGGAAAACGAGGACTGCAGGTCTCGGGATGGGGGAACCAGGCGTTCGCACGGATCCGGCCTATCTATCTTCTGCTCATTCTGGTGTCCGGTTGCATTGTACAATACCCCTCTGAGCCTTTATGAACCAGATAGCCGGTCCTGATTCTGACGGACAGGGACGGGGATTGCTCGTACTCGGTACTATCTTTTGTAAAAACCGTGTAAGCGAGGGGATCTGCTTGACTAATAGGAGCTTGGTCCTCTAAGCATACAAGCAACGCCGAAGATGACGATGTACAAAACTTGGCCATGCAAACATAGAGCTTGAATGCAAGCATACTATATGGGTAGGCAGAGATAACGTAGCACAACGGCGGATGAACAAGACAAGAGGAGCAAGTCATGGAGCCTGTGACAATGCAGTCTCCAGATGCATAAGAGCATGAGTTTAACATTGCATCTTATCCGGCGCTTGCACGCGAATGGTAGTGTTGTCCGAAAGCTTTTGATTTGGCGGGCCCACAAATCGGGCGAGAAACGGTCAGGATAAACGGATAGCCAAAAGGAAATCTGAAACGGCGTCGGATACATGACTGGCTTGCGCTGGAGCGTAATGCCGTGCCCATATAAGGCGCTCAGGTGCTGAGGTGTTGGCAGGAGAGGCGCTCCTGCGTGGGTGGTGGACGACGTGGACTTGATTACGACGAGGTCACGACGAGGTCACGACCAAGACCGATAGACTGGACAGGGAAGCACTTGCAGAGCGTGTTGTAAGATGAGCGGGTGCCAATTGACGCTCCCGCGAGCCTGGCAGCAAGCGTGTTTCAGGAGGGAGATCAAACCGTGCGCGAGTGGTGCTTCTGCCGGTTCCTGCGTCTAGATGCACCTCACTTGGGCCCATCGACCAGCCACAGGCTATGGCTTCAGCGGCAAGGCTGGGAGGGTGGTCATTGACGACACAACGCAGTCTTGTTCTTGTGATGCCATTGCTGCTGCTGCATCTGCAGGACGACGACGCTGCGCAGTCGCAAGCGCAAGGTACGCTCCCCCTACTTGCCTACTGGACCTAGCCTGGCACCTAGTGCTGCCAAACCGGTGGCGGAAGTGGTCGGCCAGTTTTTTGTTGTCCTATTCCAGTTTTTATTGAGCCCGTGCGAGCGAGCTATAACTGGCGAAAATATAGGTACGCCAAGGGCAGCGCACCGTAGTCGCTGCCTAAGAAGACTGTTGGTGAGGGTGTGGATTGAATCAGCAGCGGAGGTCGCGGGCGGAGGAGGAAGCGACCTTGTTGGCAGCTGCCGACCTTCTGACTGACAGCGGGGCGCTGCGTGACAGGACGAGGGGGGGACATGAGTGTGACAAGATGTACTAGGGAATCAGAGAGAGAGAAGGCTTGGGCGCGGCTCTGTGTTCAGCAGCGTTGCACGGGGCAGGCCGGATGGGCATCAAGAACGGCTGCCATGGTGAGTGTGCCGGCGTTGTGTGCGTGGTAGGCTGGTGTGTTGTGTGCGTGGTAGGCTGGTGTGTTGTGTGCGTGGTAGGCTGGTGTGGTTGGTGCACGCGCATGACCATGGTTTGGCTGCGATGGAGTTACAGAAGCTGTGCAGCAGGCAACACACACGACAAGACAAGAGCGTCGCGGTCTGCCATGGGAGGCAAGCATGGGTCGGTGGAATCAGGTGGCTAGGTTGTCAGTTGTCGGATCGTGGCTTGGTAACGAGTGCAAAGGTGTGAGCTAATGTGACGCAAGCAGAGAGATTTTCGAAGCAGCAGCGGACGGACCGCGATGATCACTACTCGAGGGGGGCAAACTGCGAGTCTGTGTCTCGAGAGCCTGGTGGTGGGGGTTGTGGGCTGCAAGCGAGGAATCAAGGTTTTTGCGCGCCGTCCAAGTGGGCTGCGGCCTAGGCCGGATTGCGCCAGCTACTCCGCGGCGGATGCTCGTCCGACAGGCCCGAGGAAGGTTCAAGGAGCAAAAGGGCATTTCGTGAGCAGTGTAAGCCGTGAGCCGTGGGCCGTGGGCAAGGGGTGGTGGTGGTGGGTTGTGGGTACATGCATGCTTTCTTTGTTTGCATTGCATTGTACAAGTCTTGTAGAGTATGTGCGGTACTTGCCAATGGCTGGTGGGTGGGTACACTTTGTGGTTACCGGTACAGGGAAGGGAGGTCAGTGAGTAGTGGCAGAAGCAGGAGAAGCAGCAGAAGCAGCAGCAGCAGCAGCAGAAGCAGGAGAAGCAGCAGAAGCAGCAGCAGCAGCAGCAGAAGCAGCAGCAGCAGCAGAAGCAGAAGCAGGAGAAGCAGCAGAAGCAGCAGCAGCAGCAGCAGCAGAAGCAAGCAGCAGTAGCATGTGGATGGGCTGAGCAGGACAGCAACGCAGAGGGACGAAGGGCATAACGC